GGTCTGATCCAAGATGGCCGCCCTCTATGCACGTCGGCCTCACTGCCGTCCAATGAGGCGTCTACGTAATGTCTATGGCTGTAGGTACCAGATCTGCTGGGGTCCTGCTTCATGATTGGCTGAACGTTGCCACATGGCGTAAAACATTGTGGTTGTCAAGACAACGATAACATCAGGCAGCGTCCGTGTGCCGAGTCGGGAGCATCTGTAGCGTTAGCGTGTCAATGAACGATTGATAACAAAACTGAAAAAAATCTGTTTATGGTGAAAAAAGTAACTGTTATGAGTTTATTCTCGTAATGACACAACTTTATTTTTGTAATTTTATGATTTAATTCTCGAAATAGAAGAAAAAAAAAATCTCTAGCCTGAACCTGATAGTATTCAGTAGCTAACAGGTTAGCCTCTTGTTACGTTGTTAAATAGCAGAGCTCAGTCTGTCTTACTTTCCTTCAAGACTCAGAATGATTGTTTTCTACCTTCGGCTACTTTAGATCGCCAACGAAACGTAAAATAATAGCAAACAATTGCAAATTATGTTGAGACTCCAGAAGAGATCTGATTCTTAAAGCTATAGTGGAGGATGTTCTTTTTCCAGGTGGATCATCTAAATCAGTGGTCCTCCTAACTGTCAATCATTCTGGTGATATGTTTACGTAAGGCCGTCCTGTGCGCTCATCCCCATTTTCACTTACCGATGGTGAATCTGACATAGTGGAAATATTGCAAATCTTTTGGAAAGTTAGCTTGTAATGATGATGCAAACAATAACTTTTAAACAGAGCGTATGAGGAGAAATGCTCACGCATGTGTTTAATAGGTGCTCCCGCTCTGGAGCAGCTACAGGGTTGTGGATGTGCAAAAATGTGCAAAGATCCTCCACTATAGTTTAAAGAAACGGGTGCAATACAAGTTGCCATATGATGATGTCATAAGAAGGGGCGGGGCCCCGAGCAGATCTGGTACCTACTCCAGATGTGGTGACAACAACAGATTACAGCTCCATCTGCACCAA